AGCAACTTGTGAACACTTCTAGTTCTGCTGCTTGGCTTCTGAGATAGGTGCAGTCCTATTCCACCTACTACAAGATGAATCTTTTCACATGAAAAGAGAGAAAGGAAGAGAAGACAAATTCTTTTGCCGTAAGTATTCCGTCTGCTTGGCATCTACTGCGACTGTGGCTTGCCCCTCACTGGTCCTTCTCCACACGCTTTCAGAACATCAAGGCCAGTTTCCACTGATATCTTGGATTTTCCCTAATAATCTCAACTGATTAATTATTGTCCAGCCCTGACAAACTTGTCCTCTTCCACAAGCAGTGCATTCTGTGAAAGGTGCTACTCTACCAAGTGCTAAATAACAGAAAGATGTGAGAGGATTCAATATCCTTTGTCATAACCCCCTATTTATCTGAGCCAATATCCGGTCTGTAGGTAACAAAGCAGGCACTGTTCCTTAAACCAGTGCAGAAACTTTGCTCCTATACATTGGGACATTCATTTCCAGCAGTTTTCAGACTGTGATTAATTTCAGAAGTGAAAATGCAGATGTTTGTCTAGCCAAATATTTGTGTGCACTTAATACCGCATCACATTACATAGGAACCCTTACCCTAATTAAACTGAGGCATGAGCAATGTCTGGATACACTTGAAGGAAGGGGTATAAGGTTAGTTTACACAAGTGCTGAATAATCCAGTTTATGTGGAACAAGATACTCCATTCTTCTACAAAAGATCTGACTAAAACTGCTAAGGTATTTTGGAGCCCCCATCTTGCTTCTTGCTTTTTCTGTGTCTGTTGTCTTGTCTTTGCTTCTTGTAAGCATTGGAGGAAAGTGATAATAAAGCCCTGGAGAAATTAACTAAGTAGGCACCCTCCAAAACACCACAGAAAAAAAAAAAAGATTGACTTTACAAAGTCAGAGGAATCCTAGTGGACTCAATTTGAATGGAATCACAAAAGCTTGCTGATTAATATGCTTAACAGCCTTTATAAAACATTATAAATCTGCTGAATACCTACAATGTATAGATTATAAATATATTAGTTCAAGAAGCTACCACAAGGGGATTTCTGAAGTTAGAAAGCTGTGAAGAATTTTCTATATTTATTCATAAAGCTTTAATCTTTTATGCTGATAAACAAGCATCCAAAAATATTCTGAATCACTTACAGCAATTGTCTGCCTTTCAAATGTGAAATACAGAATAAATCCTTCTTTGCAAGATGCAAAATAAAAAGAGCTAAAAAATATGAGCAGCTTTAACTTTCCTATATACAAAATTTAAGAACCATATTTATTGCATTAGCTATGCATCTGCTGCACATAGACCCAATATCGACTTGTTTCCTCGGAGGAAAAGTGACTGCCAGTTTGCATTTAGTTCTCCTGGTTTGATCAAGTGGGTTTAAGTGAGCTAAAATGACAACTGGACATTCAGCTACTGCACACTGCCCTGCCATTGTCATATTTTCAGAGAGAACAGGAGAGAGGCAGTAGTTGTCCTCATTGTGTTTGCGTCCAGCAAATGTTATCACCCAGCTTTCAGTCCTCTGGAGTGCATCAATAGCTCCATATCTTTTAATATGAATTTATTCCAGCTCCTTAAGAACGATGGCAGATCAGGAAACAGGGGCTGAGCAGTGAGTGCTGTAATTTCTTAGAGCTTCATTTACCACTAATGCAAATCACATAGGTTTGTTCATATGTTTAGTGCTCCTACTGCTAAGAGAGAACCTTTCCAAGACTGCCAAGCTTGTGTTTCTATAACCTCCTGAAAAATATATTACTTAAATGCTACCTACCATTCCAAAGGGTGTATGTGGTCAAATGGATGTTTTTTTAAGAATTTGTATTTTCACAGAGGTATAAAAACTAAAGATAGAAAACTTAAACATCCTTAGCTGCCGAGGATTGTCATAAAGGAAACAAATTTAGCATTTAAAAGATGAAATTTTAAGAAAATCTTGAATCACTTTTAACACACATATAGACTAGAAGAAGCCTTCTGTAGTCTTCTTCAGCATAAGGAAAGGATAAACAAAGTTTTAATGTAAAATACTTATTTTAAACAATTTTGAAACATGAGATCTTCTGGTTACACATTATGAGACCCAGCTGGCAACAAACACCAGAGAAGTGTCCAGTGGAGAAGTGGAAAACTGCAGGAGTTACATAAAGACCGAACTTACTGAGAACACCACAGAAGAATGAAGAAATGCTCTCATAGAAGACCTGTAGCTAAAGAGCTAAAAAGATCAGAAAACCCACTCTGATGCACAAACAGTGCTAACACCCAAGCAATCATCAAATTACTTACACACTTTACTCGTACTGATTTTAAAATGTGGAGGAAACACCACAGAAAAAGTGCTTATCATCTCTCTGGGGAAATTTTATGCTTGGATTTTCAAAGTGTACAGGCAAAAAATGTGTTGTGGCTCAAATGGGTATCCAGCATTTAAATATGATTGCACTGCAGGCTTAAATGAGTGAACTTGTGTTCTGTTGTCTTTCATGAAAGTGCAATTAGTTATGCTATTTGACCCTTCCTGTGCCTGAAATTCTAGCTGACCTTGCATGCCATGACAGTGGTGTTCATAGGGAGAAATGGGGTCAAAATTTTGCATAAAGGCAGTAAGACATTACTTCAAAAAGAAACTAAAGATGTATGTGTTTGTACTATGCATTGTTTGAAAGTTATGGGATGGATATGATTTTTATTTATATGTGTACCAGAGTGAAACAGGATTGAATCTGGACTTAGATTCTATTTTTTTCCTTCAGACTGATGGCTGAGTACGTGTCCTCAGTTTTCACCTCCTATGTTTCTGGGTTTACTCAAGTGTTATTTGTGAAGAGGACCAATTATAGGCAAATATATCCAGATCTCACTGTCTTTCCCTTCCATCCCCTCCAAGGAGGAGTTTGGTTTGTGAAGACAGCTGATGAGAGCCTAGAGAAGCTCACTGTGCCCAGGTGCCTGAGGGATGTTTAAATAAGAGGGTCAGAAATCCAATGGGTCTCAGAAGGTAGAGGAAAGCACTGACAAGTCCCCACTAAACCACATCCCTCAGTGCTCATCCACATCAGCATCCTTTAAACACCTTCATGGTGTTTAAAATGTTTCATGGACTCCACCACTCCACTCCCCTCAGCAGCCTCTTCCAATACTTGATAACAAGTACTTCTGTGAAGAAATCTTTCTAAATCTCCAACCTAAACCTCCCCTTACACAACTTTAGGCTATTTCCTTTTGTCCTGTCACTTGTTACCTGGGAGAAGAGGCTGATTCCTACCTGGCTACACCCTCCTGTCAGGGAGTTGTAGAGTGATAATGTTCCCCCTGAGCCTCCTTTTCTCCAGGCTAAACACCCCCAGCTCCCTCAGCTGCTCCTGATCCAGACCATACCCCAACCCCATTGTCCTTCTCTGGACTTGTGTTCCATCCCCTCAATTTCTTTCTTGTAATGAGGGGCTCAAAACTGAATGCAGGATTCAAGTTGCTGAGCACAGGGGAATGATCACATCCCCAGTCCTTCCGGCCACACTTTTTCTGACATTTAAATATTGCTAGAATAATTCTATTTTTTTTGCTCTCCATTAAGCAATGTTTGTCAGACCAAGCTAAAGTGTTTATTTTCAAATAGCAAACATTCAGCATCAGTAAAATCCCTTAAGAGATTAAATACTGATTAAGTAAATCTGAAGCTGCTCTTCAGTTCTTCTAAGAAAAACAAACAATAAAGCATTCAGACTCTGGCAGAAAAACATGTGATGTAGACTTTAGTAGCTTTTTTTGGGAGAGCAATTGATTTTGTTATTGTATTTAAAGAAATACTCATCATCTAATTAAATTTTAGTGATACCCTTAGTGGTGGTGTGGACAGCTTCTCTGTAGAAATCCTAGCTGATATTTTCTGTGGTCAGTAACCAACCATATGTTCTATGTCAGCACTGTATAGTTCAAGACACATCAAACTATTAGCAGAGGCAAAAATACGAAGATTTAAGGTAGTAGGATTGAACTGTGACACCAAGATTAAAAAGGGACAAGAACAAAAATTGTGAGAAAGAACCAGATGAGACCAGAAATTATGCTCTTTCCAGACAGTAAGATAAAGACTTATTTTCCATTTACCTTGCTAAGTAGCAGTTTCCCATCCATATACTATATACCCATTTATATGTTTGTGTATATATCTATATCTGGGTTTATATGTGGGGTTTTTTTTTACCCCAAGGGAAAGCTATGACTCAAACACTGCAGGCAGAGCAGGTACTGAGAATTTGCCCTCCCTAAAACTGATTGAATTAGAGGTTTGGCAGAGCTCACTGGAACCTGAGAGGCCTCTGTGACCAAGACTTACCATTCTGATATCCTCCACAGGCATTTCTTTTCTTTTTCTAACATTTATGGTGACAGCCACTGCTACTTGTACAAAAAAAAACAGAACAACACAGAGCATTATTTCCATTTTTACCAAGCCCTGGATAAATGACTCCTTGAGTTAAAGCCTGGCCTTTCTCAACATATGAGTGTAGAAATCATTCTGCACGGTTGCAAGGAAACAGTAGAGATTTAGATGAATAAATATTTAGATGAGAATTATTCTGTATATAACAGGCATTTGAAATCACAAATCTAAAACTTTAAAAGCTAAGCCAAACAAGACTGCTTAACTTTTATTTTTTTCCCCCTAGAAACCTGAGAAGTGTATTATAATGGGAATTTTGTATGGAAAAGATGTTACTGTTTTTAATACTCTCTCATGTTTGAACCATCTTTTGGTTTGCAGTAGCAAGCTTTTAGTTATCTCCTAGAAAAGGAACTGTATCCTCATGCCTTGGGCTAAGCAGCACAACTTAAGAAGTCAGAACAACTCAGAGTACTGAGAAGCTTCCAGATTTTCATAATGCAGTTTTCTCAAGCAGGAATCATCTGTTCCTTGAGGTTTTGCTATGACAACAGGAGGCACTGCCTCCCAATGCCATTGTGAGTCACATAAACATTTCAGTCAGCTGCATCTTGAGGCTGCCTTGGTTTTAACTTTGAATTCCTTGTGCATTCCAATGCTCAAAAATGTTAAAAATGAAGAGGAAAATATCCCAGAAATGGAAGACTGTGAAACCCTGGTCATGCAAGAGAAGGTAAGCATCCAGATGCCTCCACCTACTCCTTAACTCATGTGGATGTGGCATCAGTCCAGGAACCCCTTGATTCCAGGAAATGGGCCTTTATTGTTTCTGGACTATTAGTGATATCAAATCAGCTGCAACATTTATTTTCATATTGATAAGTTCTTTTTTTTTTTTTTTTTTTTGAATAATTGAAGAGTCATCAGACTGTTTCAGCTGTCTTTTTAAAACACTGGAGATGAATCAGCAAGATTCAAATCAAAGTGATTGTCTCCATTCAGCACGAGAGGCATCTGAAATATGTCCTGCAGCTTTACTGTGTTTTTCTTAAGCTAAAACATAAGACATGTTTTATGTCTTTAGGCCTAAGTGGCTGAAAAACTGCCTCCTGTCTGTATCAGGTAATCAAACTGTATTACCTCTCCTATTTAAGCACACCTTACCTCTCCAGTTGCTATAATACAAAAATATTGAACGTACACATAACTGAGCTGCCAAGCTCAGCCATTTTAAGAATTTACAGGAAATGCATTAAAGAGTTTCCATGAAGGCTGTTTGTACATTTACACTTAAGGTTCTGAAATATCACTTGGTAAGTTCAGTATTACAAATATAGTTTTACATCCCTGCTGATGGCAAAACAAGGGGAAAGATAATCGACATGACAGTCAGAAACTGTGGGATATAGGGAACGACCAGGCAGTGCATTTGGAGGGCAGTGAACTGCCAAGCATCACACCAGGAGTCATGATATGCTCAACAGGGTGCAAAACAATTTGTGATAATCTCTCTAGGAAGGATATTATGCACATCATGTATTATTATTTATTGTCTTCTGGACAGCAGTGGCTGACTCAAGGCCATCAGGAAGAACATTTGCCTGAGAACTGTGAAGTAAAAATTTGAAATAAGACTGGCACAAAAACATTGGCAGTGAGATTAAAATAAAGCACATTCTCCACAAAAGGGATTCAGTTATCCTGAAATATGACCTGAGCTTCAGAGATCTCATCAGATTTATTCTCTGCCTTGTTTCTTCTACCTCTAAATCAAAAGTTGTAATGCTGACATTTTTAGAGTACAGCACCTCAGGTGTGGCCACAAATCCACATTTAGTTACTTGGTGAAAAATAACTCAATTGGGAGTGGTGTTATTCAAAAGTCCTTTTTCTTTCCACTCCTTGCATTAAAGAAGTTGACTTCTTGATTTTTAATGATCAAATCTTGATATTCAATCATGCCTCATTTCTTCAGGTCAAACTCACCAATAAGAACTGCAAGAGTAACTACAGAATAAAGCCAGAGGCCAGAGGGAATTTAACTTAGGAAACAAGAAGATTAAATTTGGTCTGAAGGTTATGTGAGAAAAAGAATCCTTTTTCTATATTTAATTTGAAACTTACAATGTTGTTTGGGTTTGTGGGTTTGTGGGTTTTTGAGGGTGTTTTTTGTGTGTTTTTGTTGGTGGTGGTTGATTGGAGATTTTTTTTTAAGTCATTCATTGCTCACAGTCCCTAAAGGTTAGGATTCATAAAATATGAGACCACAAAAGTTAATCAAGGACTCAGTCTCTAAAACTATGGGAAACAACCAGAAAAAGAACTGGACTAGAAACACATTTCTTTCATGTTTCAAGATGCAGCCAGTATTTTATGTATGGTTTTTAGTTCATATACTTGCTTATGCCAACATCAAAAGGGCCATTTCTGATTCAAAGTAAAGTCTGAAGTAAAGTCTAAAGAACAAAGTTTCCAAGCAGTTAGCTCCTGCTGCATGGGCATCAGTATAAAAGGAATAAAAAAAAAGAAAGGAAAGCAAAAGTACAGATAAAGTATTCTTAATGCATCCAGGGTCAAAAGGAAGTGCTTATTCACATAACACGTAATTAAATTGTGCAACTCCTGGCCACAGGATGTTGCGAAGGCCAAAAGGATAAATGAGTTAAAAAAATAATTAGGCAAATGATTATAAAAAAAAAATCCATTAAGGGCCATTAAGCACAAAGATGTGCAGGCAGCCTCTGGCTCAGAAAATCTCAGTGCCACAGATTGTCTGAAAATGAGAGAATATACTAAGAAAATGCTCAGTGTTTAGCCTTTTATGAAACTCTTTTCCTAAGCACTTTGCTGACTACTCCCCAGGGAGGACAGTGACTATATAACTTAACTAGTACAGCTGTTCTTACATCACAGTGCACTAGCTGGGTATGTATAGCAGCTGAATAACTCCAGCAGAAAAAACTGTCCTCCCACACGCTAAATTTTTAGTGCCTGAATAATATTAACTTTTTTTATTATTTTTCACAGCAAGACTTATGACTTATTTTCAGTGTGCAATTTGCATGTAAGAATATTAAATATATAGTACATGTAGACAGAGAAGTTAATTGCACCATGATACAGATGTTGCTACAAAATTAGATATTCTGCACCCAACATAAGTGACAATTTCTGTCAGAATGACAGTAAGAAGTCAGTGTAACAGATTTCTACTATAGATACATGCTCTTTATATCTGTATGTGTGTCAGTATGGCTGCATGTGCAGAGAAAGAAAGGGATTTATCTACATATATATGTATATAAAACACACAAGTCTGGACAGTAACATACTAAAATACCTTCTATTTGGAATACATCCTATAATCATACTGCACATTGAGTATGTAAATGCCAGTGGCCAGATTGTTGAGGTATATTGCATTTAGATTGCAATTAATTCCCTATCATCCAATTCTACTCTGAAAAGCCAGATCTGTGAGGTGTTGTGTGCTCTTCTGTTTTGAGCCAAGGAACATCAGGAAGGGATTCTGGGTACTTGGCTTATTCAGCTTTCTTCTCAGCATCTTTTACTGGGTACTTTCAGAGGCAGAAGCCTGACTGTGTAATCTAACCTGATATTTCTGTCCTTCCATTATCTCTTCAGTGAAGATTTACATGTCTTACTGCCCACCACACATCTACATTAATGTAACCATCCCTCCTTGCTCACAGTCCTCCTGATTACAGATCTTCCATTTCCTCTTCTATTATTAAGATTTTAGTCTGTGGTTCAGTGGATATTGAGGTTGGAGCTCCATTTTGCAGAGCACTGTGAAATCATGGCTGCTCCCTGAGAGTGCTTACGTTTGACAAAACGTGACAGATGGATCAGGCAGGCATATGAGATGTGAGGCTGGTAGTGAAAAAGGCTAATGGAGTATCTGCAGTTGTTAAATGAACCAAATATTCTGCTTTGAACTTCGATGGCTGTGTATAAGCAAACCTGAATATTTTAAGTGGTAGGAATCTAGCCAAGTGCTGCATGATTCCAACCTGCTTAATACCATTTGGATTTTTTTTAATTTCAGGAGTTCTTGGGATGGACTTACGCTGGGTTGCACAGGTTCAGTCCTTCACTTTTTACTGGAAGAAGATCTACAGAAAAGAAAATAATGCTACACTGAGGAGCAACAGTGTTTCTACCATAATCAGCCATAAAAGCTTTGGTGCAATTGTGCTTGGATCAAGTTTAAAAGAGGATGAATCCCTTCTGTACTGAAAATCCACATCTCCAATTTAAAACCCAAAGCTGCTAATGGTAATGAATGCCATCACTACTCCTGCATGAGGACAGCTTGTGCATTGCAAGGCATCTTCAAATGGACGCCAAATTCTGTCATATTGCATTTCACAGATGATAAATTCACTTACATAAGACAATAAATCTGTAGCAATTTGGTTAGCCTTATTAGCAGCTACTGATTAAAATGAGAAAAAAAACACAACAGAACCAACCCACAAACAATTCAAAGCACTCAAAATCACAGGGACTTTTTCTTCTCCTGAGATTTTACATCTGTAACTTATCTTACTGTTGAATGATAAACATGCTCTGAGTGTGGGAACGGAGATGGCATGTTTTCAGTTAATTCCATATAAATTATAATATTAAATTAATCTTAATTTGTGGCACCAAAGATAGATGGAAATTATATTAAACAGATTATTGTTTACTTTGTTTTTCCCTTACAACTCAGTAACACTAGAGATGTAGCTGTAATCACAGCTGGTGGACTGTTTAGCAGTCCAACAAAAAAGGGAGGATGTAAATTCACTAACTTTGCTCACTTCTTTTAAGATCATGTTAATCTCAGAATTCTCACTGCCTCTCAGCAGACTGCATATGACATAAAAAAAATAGAAAAAAAATTTCAAACCAATACTCAAGCTTCAAAAATCTCAAACACCTTAACCAGGTATCTCTTTTTCCTTTAACAGGTACTATTTATCAAGTGTTGGCATATGAGATAATCAACATAGCAAACAAGATTTCTATTATGAAAACATAAATCCCTATGAAATTTCCATAATTTTCATAAGAAGAAAAATAATTAAAAGATATTGAAACATTTTCAGTTGGCATACAGCCACACAAAGTTGCTAAAAAAATCTTGGAAGTAAACCAGTTCCAAAATGCATCAGAGCTAGATACAAATCTAAAGCTTACTCCATTTTAGCATAGGGTGTAGGGTGTTGTTTGGTGTAACAACATCTCAGTGACACAAGAAATACTCTTTTAATATGTTTCAAAAATTTTATTAATTTTACCTCAGTACTGGCTTTCAGTGTACAAATATTACACTTCGACTTCTGAATTTTCCACAACTTGAATTTTACCACCTCTATCTTAAATAAACTTCATTAAATTATATCTTAAAATTCATATTTGTTTATTTGAAAAACATATCTTGAGAAACCCTTACATTTGCATTTTAATATGGGCTTTTTTTGTGTTGCTTGGTCCTATCTGAGCGCACCAAAACATTTTTAACCATATGGGTTCTCAGTTTAGTTTTAGTTGAATAAAAATCTAGGGCAAAATATGGTTGTGTTAACTCTAGTGGAACCATTCACTCAAAAGCAGAGAAATTGCAGGCATACAGAGCATGCTCAAATAAAAGAGTAATATAGTTTTTAATTTCATCAATTCCCTTGAGGATAGAGCATTAAAATGACCTAGATAGGCTAGAGATGGAGGTCTAAAATATTTTATTGATTTACTTGTATTTATAGATCAATTGTACACAAGTTCTTTGTTCAGTGATTGCTTCACTGAAACAAGTAAATGTTGGGATTTTTAGACCTTGGTGCCCATCTTCAAATTAAATTAAATACAAATTTAATTAATTCATATCCCTTAAAATACTTTTTTTGATTCATAGATATAATTGGATTTTATCTGAATCTGAATCGTTTCAGGTACATCAGTTCAGGAATGTAGGTGACTAAGGAGTGTTTGGTTCTAAGTATGTGCCAACAACAGAAGGTTTTAGCTCAGATTTTGGAGTGAAATATATCATTGTTATGGTGCCTCTTAATAAATTGAGAGGTAGAAGTGAGAGGGATGTTTTAACATCTCAGCTTCATTCAAGAACTGTGGAAAACAAGTAGGATGCTTCAAATTCATCTCAGTGTAACAGAAACCAATGGTTAAATACATGTGTGACTCCATTCTCTCATTATTTCTTCTCCAAGATTCAGTTCCCATTTTACACAGGATTTGTACTCTGCCTCCTCCAACTCTTATTGAGTTCTTTGGAAATTTGAAGCATACAGGAATGTAGAGTCAAACCTTCAACTTAAAATGAACCTTGCAATAAAGCAATAAATTCTCAGTAATTTCTAATTTGCCTCAATATGAATAAAAAAGTTTTGTTTTGGAAGTTTTTTAATGTGCATGTGTATCATTCAAACAAGGAACACAATCACAGACCACCAACTGCTTATCGAGGTTCCAGCTTTTCTGTACATCAAAAATAAACCACACCATGAATGTCTCAAAACTCACACAAAGCCAAGGACCTGGTGTGTGGTTTTTTCATAAATCAGAAATAGAGTCCAGATACATAAACCTTTTGGGAAATTTGGGCCAAGTTTTGAGTGAATTTTGGAAAATTACAGTTTTTAATGAAAAATCCATGCAAATAATTTTTTTGACATTCCCATCTTTTGGACACTTTTAAAATGCTAACATTGAAATAAAATTCAAGGAGCTCATAATAGAATAAAAGACTTACTGAACATATTAAATTAATTTGAAAATATATATTTATACACACACACTTGGCAGATACTCTGTATACTCTTTCAACAGTGAAACATGTAAAAGACTGAGAGTTTTTTTCAGTACAAAGCCTAAGAATAATAATGTTTAAGAAAGAGAAAAAACATATTTTGAATTGTTTTTTGTATCATAAGTAATGATATTGTTGCAGTTGGACAGGAGTAGACTATTATTAAAAATATTTTGGACGTTTTCAATATGCTTGCTTGGACTAGTTTTCCTAAAGGGACTAGAAAATGCATTCTTTCAGCTGAACCTATATGGGAATCTCTTTCCTCAGAAAAAGAATTAGGTTTCAAAATTTTTATAGGTCCACCTGGGGATGAAATTTAGAACCAGGAAACCTAGTGTTGATGTACTTCCATTCAAGTAGAGAAACAACTTGGGCATGGGCTTTCCAACCCCAGGAAAATGCTGTGTTGCTGATTATATCTTTGTCTCAGTGTTTTAGAGGGAAATTTTTCCACTTAAAATGCCTTGCTTCTGATAAGTTTCCATTAAAACCAAAGGGATGGCAATCTAATAATCACTGAAAAGATTTTATGTAGCTCAACAGAGCTGTGCAATGGATAATGACAGCACATTGTTAGTCACTAAAATGTAAATCCCAAGCTCAAGTACTTATTTTTTGAAAATCTTACTGACTTCAAACAACTGCAACCAGTAAAAAAACCCTAAACAAATTCAGCACCCCAAATTACTTCAGATTAAGTAATAGTAATGTTTTCCAGTAATAGTGCCAATACGTGTGTAGTCTCTCAGATAAACTCTCCACAGTAGATAGTAAGAAATATAAATGTACTTTAAGAGAGGAATAGTCTTGAATTTCTTTACATCATCATTCTCACAAAAAAAAAAAGCTATTTCATTTGCCAGTGCATTTGTACTTGTCTTGTACCTCCTTATATTAGATGATTATATATGTACGTGGGCCTGAATATGTTGTTTGTTTTCACTTCTATGCAGCTCACACAAAGAGTGGCACTGCTGATACTCAATGAACCAGCCACTAAATTTGTCCTCCACAATGAGCCTGAGATCAATAACTAATTTTGAAAACTGATTAGTTTGCAGCAGGGAAGTAGACACTGTCCGAATCTTGCCAGAGGATATAATCAGCCAGTAAATAGCAATATTAGTGCTGTTGGTAATAGGCTGGGAACAGCAGAGGAAAGGAGTCAGGACCAGCTCTTAAAAATAAAGGGCTTGACATGAAGGCCAATTCAAATTCTCTTTTCTTTTTTTTTAAGTCACATGACTTACACTGAACTCTGTTTCTTCTTCTTTTGGTGCTGGAGTAAAGCTTATTTTTATCACATTCTCTGCCTGGAGACTAAAAAGTGTTTGTAATGCATCGTAATAAAGCGTGCAAGTGCAGCCTTGGGTGATTATTAAAGAGCTACAGACATTTTTACAGATCTTTGCTGGTTGTGAACTCCAGATGTTTCCAACATGAAAAATGTTATGTTCTAACAGTTAATGTTGTATCACCAGCCATTCAGAAGATGTATCTTCTTATTATAGCTGGAATGTTGCTATGGTGATAATTGTAAAACTGTGACCTAGAAGGAGGAAAACAAATGTATTTGGCACAAAAGAGGATAGGTAGTGTATCAATTAGGCCAATGAATGGGAAGATAACAAAAATGTGGTAGGAAATTAAAAAATTATGCATGAATCTTGGATACCATATGATATACTGTATAATTAGCACTTTTATTTTCATGTGGAATGCATCCTCAGTTACCTTTGGGGACAGACAGCACCCTGTCTACATCCAAAATTACAGTGCTTTGCCTTTTCCACAAAGCTCATCCATAAAAAGCATCCCTGTGGAAGACTTGCTCACATAAGGGTTTTTATAATTAATTAATGTTTTTTATTTTGTGTTTTGGTACTAAGGACAGAAGTAGACCGTGTCAGCAGATACAATTAACTATAGATTTTCAGCTATCAAACCCTAAGGATCAGAACAGAAATAGACTTCATGCAAGTCTAGCCAGGGATTATTTGGGGAACAGCCTGTTCTTAGGACCACCACAGCTCTGCAATTCTGCTGAGTCTAGCAGGGCAAAATCAGCTCAGGGGAGTCAAACAGCCCCTGGGGCTCCAACCAGGGAAGGACCCGAGTCCTCTGCCACCTCTGCCAGCCATCTGCTCGTCACCTTGAGCTAGTCTCCCTCTCTCTGCTCATCCATTTCATCATTTGCTCGATGGGAACCCTTTTTACCAAGAGCTTTTTCAGATCAATGAGTGAAACATGCTCTTAATTTCTAAGCTCATAAGCAGATGCATATGTGGAAAAACAGAGACTCCCATTACGAGGGTAATGATCAAGTATCCCATCTTCAAGTCAACTGCTATTGCTGCTGCAAACTGCAAATGTTTTCCAGCTCACAAGCA